ATCACCCCCCAGGGGATGGCCACGCCACAATCCCTTCTCCCCTGTTCTCCTCTTGGGATCTTGGGCACGCACGCACACACGCCCGGCATGAGTTGAAGCCACTGGGTCCAGGACTCAAACTGTGATCAGCTACATGGGAGTCTAGTGAAATAGCCATTACGCTAACTGCTGGTCTCGCGTAAAATTTTTGATCCAGCTTTGTTTTTCACTTACATTCTATTCATAAACATTTCTTATATTCAAGACTTTACATAAACATCAGTTGTAATTCAGTCCTCTCCCAGTGATGAGAAAACTGAGATGGGTGGGAGGGAGGAGGCCATTTGTGCAAGATTACATGGCATTTATTAGAAACCCAGCGCTAGAGCCCCAGCCGCTGCCCTGGCCTGGTGCTCTTTCCACTGTGCCACACTGCCCAGCAGGAGGGCAGCAGTTATATGGAACTAAGAGGAGAGGTGGAACAAGGCAGATCTGCCCAAGAGCCTTCCCGTGACAGGACTGATCTGGAAGGCTCTTCCCTGCTGGTATCGGAGGGAGTGCTCAGAAGGCGGCAGGCCCCAGGAATTTCCTGTAGAGGGGCATGAAGAAGAAGGGTACTTGGCCCTCCTGGACCCCAGTATCTCCATAACAGGACTGAGCAGGAGGCCTCCACAACAATGAGGACAATGACTCACCCCACCGCAGCTCCAGTAATCCAGGGATTTACAGAAAAGGCTGCACCAATTCTTTAAACAGCTTTTTCCTCCTTTCTCTCCTCCCTCCTTCCTTCTTTCTCTCATACTCTGGATTCTCTACAGTGTGAGTCTATTATGTAAATAGTTGGGGTGGTGGTGGAGGGACTTTGAGATTCCACCACGCTGTGTTGCAGGCATACCTCAACACCAGAGAAATGAGATAAAACCCAGGAGACTGACATTCTCCGTGTTCGCCCCATTTAGTCCTGGCCGTCATGAAGGGGAGGGTAGAGTCAGCCCTTCTGGAGTGAACGTCATGACGGTGCAGACTGCCTGGGCTCTGGGCTGTCGAACTCCAGGAAAGCCCGTCATGACGGTGCAGACTGCCTGGGCTCTGGGTTGTCGAACTCGGGCAAAGCCTCTCTCCACTTCCTGGTGGAAACAGCATTACCACCTGGTCTGGAGATGGAGAGCTCCAGTGGGCGGTGCTAGGCCTGAGCTCACAGATTGATCTGACAGGCCGAGGCAGGCTATATCGGGTAAGAATCTGGCTTCTTCCTCTGGCTTCTGCTTGGATGTTAGGAAAAGACTGGAATTCTCAACAGATGGTTTGATCTAAGCTAATTCCCGGACTTGGCCCTTCCTCGCTGACAGAGGCCCCTCTCTGTGGTGTCCACCTGGCCCTATGTTCTTGTTTCTGGAGAACAGGGCGTCTAATTAAGACATCGGTGGAAGGGGGCCTGGTAGGAAATGGATTTTCTCCTTTAAATCTCAAATCTTAAAAGATGAAAAACAAAATGCAATATAATCACCTTTTTATGATTTTTTTCCCCATCTATAGGACAATGGTGCATTGCATGACCCTTTTCTGGGAGAGAATCTCTGCGAGTTCTTTTTCAGACCCAGAGTAATACAGCCATTGCCACGAGCGTGGTGGTCAACGAACGCAGCCAGCTTGAATCACCATCCATCACCTTCTCTCAAATATCACACCACAATCTATCCCCGGCAGGTTCTTCCTCAGTACCTCAGAAACTTCAGCCATCGAAACAGACCCTGCCCAGATCACTTGGAACTCAGGAGCAAAATGTAATTTCCCCCAGGTTCCTTTTGAAGTTCTAGATTTTGGACTAAGAAAGCCTATGGGTGAAGAATTTGGGGCAGAATGCTTCTTATTGTTGATGCTCTTACTAGGAGTTGAAAATCCCAAACCTCTCTTGGTCCCTTTCTTTTTTTTTCTATAGGGCACATACCAGAGAGAGACAGAGAGAGAGATAGAAAGTGAGGAATTACCCCCAGGGGGAATGACCACGTTGCAATCTCTTCTCCATTCTCTTTTCATGATTTTGGGCACGCACACAAACATGCTTGGTGTGTCTCTCAAGCTGCCAGATCTCAGATTTGAACCACTCAGTCAGCCATGTGGGATCCAGCACCTTAACACCATGACACTGGCTGCCCCCTTTCCTATTTATGATGAGAATGACTTATGTCAGAATATGCCTCCCCTAGTCTGTGAGACATGTAGGACTTATTTGTGTTCTAAATCCATTTCACCATGGCCCATGGCCCTAGCTTGTCTGGCGCGGTGCTGGGCAGGGGGTGGGTGAGCCCGCACTCCTTAGAGTCTCCCCCTGCCACTGTGCCCGGAGGCAGCAGGAAGGCTCCGGCACTCTTAATCCCTGCTTGGTGGGGCTCGGCGAGCAGCCTGGGCTTGCTGAGTTCCCATCCGGAGGTAACTCTCCTCTCCCAGCCACATCCTGTTTTACCTCCACCGTCCTTCACTGAAGTGCTGAAAATACCATGACCCTTTGTGTTGTGACCAGACAAAGATTGGAACCTCATCTAGAGCCCACTTGGAAAGCTCTCTCATTCTAGGTCCCTGTCACAATCAGTTCCCCTTCTCCTCAATGCACACACACATATAAAAATAAATAATATATATTATTATATATTATATAAACTGGCATCCACTATGGAATCATCTCTACCTCAGCTCACAGCCACTCCCTTTACATGGACTCACACACTTTCTCTCTCTCGGACCCGTGTTTATATACATATAAAACTACGCTACTGGTCCCTATGGCACATCCCAAGGGCTGGAATTCACCTCTGTTATCTATCAGTCTTTTAAATGAAATGATAATGCAGATTACTTTGCATTTATACAGTCTAACTCTCTGAGCTTTTGTATTGGAAGCTTCAGGAACAATCTGGGAGAAAGAGTCCATGAGAGACCTTTTGGAAGAATAGGATGCCCCGTTGACACACTTGGAAACTGAGGGTGCAGACTGAGTAAGACGATGGCTGACCAGTGTGAGTTAAGAACACAGCATAGGGCCAGCAGATGGCGTGGAGGATAAGGCGGGTGGATCCCACATGGCTGACTGCACAGTTCAAGTCCCAGACCTGGTGACTTGAAAATCATGCCAGGCGTGTGTGCGTGCATGCGTGCGCGCGTGCGTGCATATGTGTGCGTTCCCAAAAACCCAGAAGGAGAATGGAGGAGAAGGGATTGTGGTGTAGCCATCCCCCTGGAAATGATTTCTCACTTTATCCTCTCTGTCTCTCTCTAGCTAATGTGCACACCCTAATAGCAAACTGAAAAAAGGAAACAAAACAAAACAGAGAGAACACAGTGAACGCAGCTGTGGTGGATCATGTTGCTAAGATACTGTGCCCGGCAGACTGAGACCACACGGAAGGCCCAGGTTTGATTCCCACCCCAACCCAAAGGCGAGGTGCAGTGGTTGCACCTGGAATCCCAGTGATTCAGCAGGCAGAGGCAGGACTGTGAGTTCATGCTGGTCTGGGCAACGTAGTGAGGTCCTATCTAGAGGGGTGGTAGCCGGCTCCTATAGTTCCAGGTAGGAATCTGGGGCATGAAGTTTACAACAGAGCAAGAACCTGACTTAAAAATTAAAAAAGAATAAATCGTACTTTCTGGAGAGTGGCCTTATAGTCATTGTGACTATTTACTAAACATATACTGTGTGCTAGACACTTTTCTAAACATTTTCATACCTAGCTCATTAAACCTTCACAACAACACCTACTATTACCTTATTTTATAGATGGAGACACTGTGGCATGGAGACATTGTTTAAAAATGCCCATGGCTCACTGTAAAAATGTACGGTGAATAAATGTAAATTAATAATAATTTAAAAATTTATATTTCCATAGTTACAGAGCTAGATAGTGTTAGAATTGAGAATTAAGCCCAGAGAACCTGGCTCTGAAGTGTAGATTCTTAACCAGTATATTCTATTGCCTGACCCAACAGGTTGACAGCGCTCAGGAATTGTACTGGACATGAGAACGGAAGTAAACTTCGCTTTATCCAGTTTTCTTTGGGACTTCTGGGCTTAGATGTGGGTGGGTCAACAACACAGAGAAATGGCTTCCCTTTGATAAATGTGCCAGGAGAGAATCCACATCTGTCATGGCCCAGTCATGGGCCTACGGACAGTGGACACCACTACAGCAGCCTCCCTGAGTGTAGCCCTGAAGCAACATGATGCCTTAACATGGAGGAAAACCAGTTAGCATGAGAGAAACCACTTTCTCGGCGTAGGAAAGAGCAGGAGTTCTGAGGCTGGACAAGTATGGGTCAAATCCAGGGTCACATCAGGAAGAAGTCCCATCCCCTCAGTCTCATCCCTTAGTTCCTCACGTGTAGAACGTGAGATTGTGACGGTTAAGTGGATCACATGATCAACAGGGGCCTGGAAAATAGAACTTCCAAACAACTTCCGCTGGTTTCCCTCTGCTCACGTACTAAGCACCCAGCTTGCTCAAAGTACCGTATGGCTCTGGCCGGAAGCCAGTCAGAGCACACTCTCCACACCCACTGGGCGAGTCATCTGTGCTTCGGCCTCACGGCCACTCCCTCTACAGACACTCACTTTCTTTCTGTCACACACATACATGTATGCATATGTGTGCATGCACACACACATGCACAGACGCATGCATGCACACACTTTCTCCTGAGAAGGCTCCCCCTTCTCTGTGAAGGCAGAACTGTAGGTTCCATGTCCTGACTGCCCTGTTCCATGGAGGGTGAAGCAAGAACTTTTACCCGATCTCAGAAACCCAGAACATCTGAATGGCAGAGGTGTAGAGACAGAGGTTGTGAAGGTCACAGGAGGGTAAGATCTGCTTAAGGATGCACAATTACAGGAGACGAAACTGCTTTTCGGTTA